CACTTTATGGTACCATTTCGTCTTTCCTTCACCTTCTGTTCCTTGGGGAAGAGGCTTATATTCTTGTGTTGATCTGCTTTTGATGTACGAAGACACTGTGAGAATYACTGACAACAGAAAKTAGAGTATCATMRCGACGTAGCCCCACGCCGTAAGATGGAAGATTAACGCCATGTTGAATGGGCTCCCATGTGCGTTGGCAGCAACCAGTTCATGAATTACCRACGCGACGCTGTAAAGAAGGAAAACTRCTCGRTAGATGATAAGCATTGGTGCAGGAAACCACTGAAATAATAACAAATGATTACTTGATAGAGCTAAAAAGTTGTAACGATTATTGAAGTTAAGGCTCGTTTATCTTCTCCCATCTCATTCCGGCTGAGTTGCGCAAATGCTGKCGCCGTATCATTTAGTTAGGTTACATAAATTAATATCTACGCAATTCTACGAAGAGTTTCAAGATACGAAAAAAGCAGAAAACCTGCTCAAAACAGACATTGTTAAAACACGATATTCAAAACATATTCAAGTTTTTTTGCGAATTTCAGAATACTACTGTACAGAAAAAAAACTTTACTTGTTAACCTAAAGAATAAAATGGATTTAGAGTAATCCAAAATTCTATTCTTCGTTTTCATTACACGTCATAGCGGCCATATTGGAGGAACTTTAACAATGGATTTCTCATTGGCATCTATCTATCATGGCCGCCAATCTTTTATCTTTTGAATCTCGTCGGAATGGCTTAAAATGAGTTTTCGTGTGTTCTTATCATAAGAAAAAAAAAGTTTAGCTCAACATTGTTCTCTTTATTTCTCCCATTGCCGACTTTCATACCGGGAGGGTCTGGGTACGAGACCGGACAAAAATTCCAACTTGGTCTCGGAGACTCGTTTAGGATTATCATAAAATGTCACAAGGCCTGGCAATATGGATAATCGTTATTCCCATGCACCATTAGTACAACCGAGAGAACATGGGCAACAGTTTATTCGCATGACGATCCAAAATTCAAAATGGCGGACGATGGGGAAATATTTCTTCAAAATGTACCTACTCGAATATGCCGTTTTATTAATTTCTGTTGAACTTTCTCAGTTCTTGAACTCGTACATTTTGATCGAATGAGTTTAGTTTTCATTTTCACATGTAGCAAATGGTGAAATTTGATAATCCCAAACGTAAATAAGGCAAGGCAATTGCTCAACTTTTCTAACAATGAAGACGCCATGGAATGAAAAGAATTCTTGTTCTCTTGCTCAAGAGTTTCCGTGTCCAAATATTTGAGAAAGTGTAAGGTACTAAGATAAGCTTATAAGGTAAGGAAATACAGATATTGTGCAACTCGACAAAGCATAAGCTTAATCAGGTAAGGTTGTCATTTAAGCACAATCGCTTCGTACTTCATTCGTGTGCTTTCGAGTTATTTTTGCAGGTAAATAAGTTTATAGTCAGTGGTTTTAAAGTTKAAACGTTTTTGCTCAACATGGCCACTAGTGCAGGTAGGTCTTTCCTTAGAAACTTAATTGTCATATAAGAAATACAATTATCCAAATACTAACTGAGGTTTTTGGGTTTTTGTGATATCCGAAACAATCAAGGTTTCGTTGTACTGTACAATTAATGCAATACAATGTACTGATCACAGTAATCACTTTCTATCTTTTTGCTCTGATCATCTTTTGTASTAGTTATGACATTAGGATCTTTCAAGTTAGGATGGTGTTGTTGATTGGTTTAATTACCAGGATACCATAAAAAAGAAATAATAAAAGCATGATTAATGAAGTGGAGAATATTTATATAAGTTACAAAAATTCCCTTGAAGCTCACAGTGGCCGTTTTTTAATTATCAGCGAGGGGGGCCGGTCAGATTGCTGGGGGGTCACTTTTAAAATACCAGCATTTTTTTTTTTTGGTGGGGGGGCATTTTCAAATTTTCAAACTATTCTGGTGTGAGTCATTTTCATACATATCGTTGCATAGGGGGTCACATTACGAGCATGGAGGTTGTGCGGGGGGGTCATATTTTTAGATATATCAAAATGGAAAATATTGGCGACTCCCCCTCCCCGATAATAAACGACTGGCTCCACAGTTAATACTTGTAAGCATACTTCTTCTTGTATTTAATAGTACATGTAGCATAGTTTATATATTGAAATGCTTCCCTAACTATGGTAGTTGTTAACACTAGCTCTTAATTTAGATGTTTTTAAAACATGTTTTAACATTGTAATTTGTAATTTTGTACATTGTAAAATTGTAATTTTGAATGATTTTTTTTTATCTAAGCATACATTTATTTTATTTGTAGATAAAGCTGTTAATGATGCCCAAAAATCATCTTTAAAAACAGGAAAAAGGGTAGGTTGAAATTAGTGCTTAGTGCAGTAGATGGTCTTTGCCTGAGTTGGAGACAGATTAGCAATCTTTGAGAGGTTGTCTCTAAAGATGTATTATTTATTTGTAGGACTGCCCTAATTGTGGCCTTCCACAACCCATCAGAAAGCGGGTTTGTGGAGGCTGCAATGAGCAGTTTGTTCCAAAGCCTAAGAGAAAGCAGCAGGATATTGGAGCGATGGGAAAGACAAGCGTTACTGAACAGAGACGCTTATTGGAGAAGAGAGTATGTCAGCTCAATAGTTTTAGTTTAAGCACCATCAATAATAGAGGTGGCAAATAGTCTTTTTTTAAGGTTGTTTGTGATGAGATGGAATTATCTATATCTTTGAATTTAAGAATGCAAGGTCTACAGATTACATGTATGCTAAAGGGGATTAACACCAGCAAAATTAATGTTTTGTCTTTGTATTTTGTTTTGCCTTTGTATTTGTTTTTCCGAATTTGACAATTCGAAAATTTCTTATGTCTGACTATATTATTTAACACTTGTCCAGATTGTATTTGAATGTAAATGTCATATGGTCAATGAAAAAAACAATCCACTGTATCTGGAGACACCCTAATAGAAARTACACTTCCTGACCAATATTTTAAAATTATTGTTGTATTGATTAAATTGTGAATGTACAATTATAATTAATTTTGTTAAGAAAGACAACATACTGTCATATAGGAAATCGAATATATAATGGCGATACTGTGGCATTTTCTTCAAAATATAATATACATTGTATATGTTTTTTCAGGCAAATATCTTGCATATGCATCATAATGCAGATATTGTGATTTTGATGCACAGTAGGCATGGACGAGGAAATACTGTGACATGCTTTGGAACAGAAGGTGGGTAATCTTATCACCAAATTGTATTCAAAGAAAAAAAATCATAGCACAGCATTAATGCACTCTCTTAATTTGAAAGGTGCTGGTGTAGCTTTTATTGGCAATAAACAAAACGTAAAGCAGTCTGGTGAAGGGCATATGGTAGAGAAGCTCTTTACCAAGTTTATGCAAGGTTTGATCAATGATTGCATGATCCAAATAATTTATCTAGATTGGAATTTTGTTGACTGTGCAGAAATCAGGAAGCTTCTATCACAGATTTTGCATAGACAGTCATATACATCCACTCTACACATAATTGTATAATATAACAAACATTATGATAAGATAATTGTGTATTGCAGTATGCATCTTATTATTAAACTCTCAATAAAATAGGGACTATAAAATAATGTTACCATGGACACTAGTGAAATTAATAGCAAGTATTCTATTTTATCTATANATAACTATTATTAGGCACATTGATTCTGCTGACATTATATGCTACACCATTCAGCACAATACAATGATAGGTGTATTCATGAACATATTTTATCAATTTAGATTGTCAACCGTCACCTCCGCTTGCTGCACAAGGCACATCAAGTAATCCACTAGGTAATAACTATTATTAGGCACATTGATTCTGCTGACATTATATGCTACACCATTCAGCACAATACAATGATAGGTGTATTCATGAACATATTTTATCAATTTAGATTGTCAACCGTCACCTCCGCTTGCTGCACAAGGCACATCAAGTAATCCACTAGGTAATAACTATTATTAGGCACATTGATTCTGCTGACATTATATGCTACACCATTCAGCACAATACAATGATAGGTGTATTCATGAACATATTTTATCAATTTAGATTGTCAACCGTCACCTCCGCTTGCTGCACAAGGCACATCAAGTAATCCACTAGGTAATAACTATTATTAGGCACATTGATTCTGCTGACATTATATGCTACACCATTCAGCACAATACAATGATAGGTGTATTCATGAACATATTTTATCAATTTAGATTGTCAACCGTCACCTCCGCTTGCTGCACAAGGCACATCAAGTAATCCACTAGGTAATAACTATTATTAGGCACATTGATTCTGCTGACATTATATGCTACACCATTCAGCACAATACAATGATAGGTGTATTCATGAACATATTTTATCAATTTAGATTGTCAACCGTCACCTCCGCTTGCTGCACAAGGCACATCAAGTAATCCACTAGGTAATAACTATTATTAGGCACATTGATTCTGCTGACATTATATGCTACACCATTCAGCACAATACAATGATAGGTGTATTCATGAACATATTTTATCAATTTAGATTGTCAACCGTCACCTCCGCTTGCTGCACAAGGCACATCAAGTAATCCACTAGGTAATAACTATTATTAGGCACATTGATTCTGCTGACATTATATGCTACACCATTCAGCACAATACAATGATAGGTGTATTCATGAACATATTTTATCAATTTAGATTGTCAACCGTCACCTCCGCTTGCTGCACAAGGCACATCAAGTAATCCACTAGGTAATAACTATTATTAGGCACATTGATTCTGCTGACATTATATGCTACACCATTCAGCACAATACAATGATAGGTGTATTCATGAACATATTTTATCAATTTAGATTGTCAACCGTCACCTCCGCTTGCTGCACAAGGCACATCAAGTAATCCACTAGGTAATAACTATTATTAGGCACATTGATTCTGCTGACATTATATGCTACACCATTCAGCACAATACAATGATAGGTGTATTCATGAACATATTTTATCAATTTAGAATGTCAACTGTCACCTCCGCTTGTTGCACAAGGCACATCAAGTAATCCACTAGGTAATAACTATGTTATTTCTAATAAATCATAATGTTGATATTCAGGAAATTTGTTTTAGCTTGTAATAACTCTCACAGTAGTTTTCCATTTGATTATCCTTCATTATGATGTTTACTGTGTGTTCTGCATACAAAGATTCACATATTTTTAGTGATACTTGTTTAATAATTTTCAGCTATGCTTGTATACTATCCAAATAACATTGCTGTTGCTGGTGGAATACCCTATCCAACTAGGAGATCCCTACATGGGCATACCATTCCAGCTGGTTATACGTGCGTGATGCTGACGTGTTGCCATGAGCACTTCAAAGCCCCCCTGATCCTTGGGGATCCAGAAGAAAATGGGATATTGGAGAAAAACAAATTTTTTGCCCTCCCAAATGATTCGCTTATGCAGTTCTTACCGAATAAGACAATGATTCCCTATCAACCGCTTTGATCTAGAGTACAGAGGAACCCCGTAAGTAAGAACCTAATTTTTTTTAGGGTTAGCCCAAATTATTTAAATGGTGCTTAAAAGAATTTTAGGCTACCAAGGTTCTTCAAATAGGTTCTTAATTTTGAGAGAGAAAAAATTATCTATACTCAAAAATGCTGGTTTTACTTATATTATGTGTAAATCACAGTGGTAATACAGACAAACTAGTTGACAGCAAGTTCTAAACTTGGTAAAGACAGGCTTCCAACAGGTGGAAATAATTACAAATAAGGTTACCCAGCCCTGCATCACCAAAAGATAAGGCTAAATATAGGTTCTTGTTTATTGCGGGTATTAATGACAAAATTTGAGGCTAACAGGTTCTTAAACCTTAGGTTCTTACTCATGGGGTTCCGCTGTACCTACTAACGATATCTAATTTATACCAATGAATGTATTGCTTCATTTTTACAATCAGTTATCCAACTCATTAATAATTCATGAGCTATTAATCCAATCACATTGAGTATTAGGTCACATGATTGAGTCTATATCACCCGATAAAGCACTGATTAATAAAACATACTAGTGTTTAATGTATCATTGTTTTATCCGATTTAAAACACTTAATGTGACTTGACACTAGCAAAGGTCTCAGGTTTAATGTCTCATGTCTCTCATCATAGACCTTTGCTAGATTTTGAAGATAACAGTCTTGTACTACACTCATATCAATGGCCCTTGCAAGTGGGATCATTATGAATACATAATTAGCTCAATTGCTCGTGCTCAAATCCGTTTTATGCACATGTTTAGATATTTTGCCATACATTTTGATGATTAATAAAGAACTGAAGAGTGTGTTTAGCGGGACTAAAGATCTTTATCACCTGATAAAAGACACTCTTCTTCTTTTGTTCTTTATACACTACTTATAATTAGAATAAGATGAAACTTTACATGATACCAATTTCCCCTGAACTGTCATGCCAAACATTTTTTTCAGGTTTACAGAGTTCAAAAATTATGATTTTATAGCTTCTCTGCATTATTAGAAATGAAACAGACTGTTTGCTATTCTAAAATCGCTGATGTTTTGTAATACTTTGGTCAATTATAACACATATTAGAGGAAGTTGATTGTTGACATGGCTGTTAATTATATTCTGTCCTGCAAGTTTTATATACTATACAAAATCTGGGAATGTGATGATTAAATATTCACATTTAAATGTTGACAAAAATAAAACAATAATAAAATCAAGGAAACTGCCAAGGGAAGTGTTTGGCAATGTGTATGTATAGAAGAGTGGACTGAAGAATAACTCTAAACCTGTGGCAACTTATGAAGATATATACATCAAGCAAAAAATCCATTCATTGACAACTTGCCTTCATATTTTATACATTTTCAAATTGATTTGCATATGTGAGGGTGTTGTGCACATTGTTATTGTTACTGAGACTTTGTAAATGACCATAATTTTACAAGTGATGAATTCTACATCAGGGATATTTATGCATGGGCAGTTCAAGGATATTCCTCGGGGAGGGGTGCAGGCCACTAAGGAGGGGTGGCACCTCACAAAAAAAGATTACAAAAGAGACAAAATAAGGGAAAATATTTAGCCATATGATGTCTCGGTAGGGATGTGAACTCCCCCCACCCACCCCCTGGATCTGCCCCTGTTATTGAACTTTGTCATATGCTGATATCATCAACACTTCCAAAGCATACTTAACAACTGAAAGGTAGAACCCTCGTTCTCTTAAACAGTTTGTGGAAAGCAGACCAAGCAAGTTTCATTATAGCTATTGCACCACTTCAAGTAATACAGTACTAATTCCAGTGAAATGTTTAGTAGATAAAATATGCAGTCAAGTAAACAGTAAAGAAGCATAAAGCAAATGCCTCTTGTGTCCAAAGTTCATTTATAATAAAAGGGCAAAATATATATTAAAGAAATTTAGCATATTCAGCCTAATTCTGACATTTTCAAAATGAGAAGATAACATTTGTATTCTCGCACACCCACGTAATATTCTATTTATCATATAATTGAATCATAAAAGCAAATTTTGTATGATTTATGCCTCCTACAGGTAATATAATAATGTGGACAGCTGCTAGAAGTAATCATTTCATCACACACAATTTCTCATATTTTGTGAGCTCACATGCATTTTCACTGCAATGGACTGCAATTCTTAGATTCAAAATATATACCTCGAGTGATTTTACAAAAAAAATTGTACATTTGGCTATATTACAGTTAGGGTTAGCCTAGGGTTAGAAGTTATTTGCTGAATTTTGGTCCTATTAGTCCAGAAAATGTGTCCTGTGAAAGCTCTCAACAAGCTGACTCCAAAAATAGTGACAATCTTTTGATTGACCACGCCCATCACGTGATATGACGTCATAGGTGTCAATCTCGAAGGTCATCAGATGGTCATGTGAGTTATATTTTTGAAAAGCCTGGGATCTCAGCATTCTAGTCATATAATATCATTGCACCTTTGCTGATATTTGCAAAGATGTGGCTGTTTTTGTGAAGCTGGGGAGGATTTTCTGTTCATTGACGAAAAGGTGTGTCTATAATGTTCCATTCTCAAAATAAGGGTGTTCTATGTCACTCAATGTATTGC